CATATATATATGCGCCGTATACTCAGATCAATTGGTCGGGCATCTGCTTGTCAGTTGTAAGTCCCCTCTAGTTTGGTGTTCAATTCCCCCCGCAGAGGGTGTGGTACACGAATTGCTAAACGAATCGGGGATGGTCAGAGCTCGTAAATATATATTATTTATTTATTTATTCATTTATTTATAGAGATAGAGAGAAGGGGAAGTCAAACCACGAAGAGGGCAAGAGAGAGGAAGCAAGAGCAAGAACGAGAGACAGGGATATGGAGAGAGTGAGAGACAAAGGGAGACAAAATAGAGAGAGATTGAGTGATAGAGGTTGGGTGTGCAGTTGTTAGTTAAACAAAGGCAACAAGTGTGGTTGGTACACGTGTGAGCAGCCAAACATAAGGAGAGCCAAGAGGACGAATGTTTTGCATGGAATCAAACTGAAAGGGGTTATCCTATGTTTTTAAAATTCACAATAAAATTGCCTTGTGTTCAAGTTTATTAGACATTGTTGTTAATTTTTTTATGAAATTGAGTTAAGAATATAAAGTTTAAGAGCAGTACAAATCGAGAACTTAATACAACAACAACAACAACAACAAAGCCTTAATCCCACTACGTGGGGTCGGCTACATGAATCCTTTTTCTCCATTGCGTCCTATTTAGTGTCATATTTTCATTTAGTTCTAGTAAATTAAGATCATTTTTAATACAATAAGCCCAAGTCTTCCTAGGTCTACCTCTGCCTTTCTTAACACAAGTCGAATTTAAAACATCTACTCTCCTAATCGGATCATCTAATGGTCGACGTTTAATATGACCAAACCATCTAAGACGACTTTCTCTAATTTTGTCTGTCACAGGAGCTACACCAACCCTATCACGAATATATTCATTCCGCATTTTGTCTCTAAGTGTAAAGCCACTCATCCACCTAATCATTCTCATCTCGGCAACACTTAACTTATTATTATGCTTCTCTTTTAAAGGCCAACATTCAGCGCCATAGAGCATTGCAGGTCTCACCACCATCTTATAAAATTTTCCTTTCAATTTATCCATGAGAAGAACATCATCAGCAAAAAGCATACACCAAGGTACATCCTCTTGTAGATGTCCAGTAAAACCATCCATAACTAAAGCAAAAAGATATGGGCTTAAAGTCGATCCCTGATGTAAACCAACAGAAATAGGAAAATATTTTGTCAATCCTCCTTCAATAATGTTGGGAAGTTCTATGCTACACTACCGCTGTAGTTGTTGTACCAGTAATAAATGAATTCTATGCTAATTTAGATGGAATTACCCAAGGAGTTATCTTCGTTCGAGGTAAGGCTGTACCATTTACTCCGACTCAAATTAATGATTTGTATATGATAAAAAATGTTCCAATCTGTCATTATACAAATTTTATCCCAAAGAGAGATATGATGCAAGATGTATATAATTTTCTGA